AAAAAAAAAAAAGAGTAGAACAACAGATTTCAAAGGGTGGCTTGAGAAGACAAAGGAAAGTACTATAATGAAATGTGCAAACACCTGGAGCTAGAAAACCAAAAGGGAAAAACACACTCAGGATTTCTCAAGCCAAAAGAACTGAAGAAAAATTTCAGGCCTTGAGTTACATGCAATATTGAAGCATTCTATGAACGAAATATTGAATGATGCAGGTAACATTAAAGGAAGATGGAAGGAATACAGAGTCACTGTACTAAAAAGAATTGTCCATGTCTATGTCCAACTATTTCAGGAGGTACCATATGATCAAGAATTAATGGTATTGAAAGAAGTCCAAGCTGCCATGAAGAATTGGTGAAAAACAAGGCTCCAGGAACTGATAGACCACCCACTGAGATATTTCAACAAACAGATGTAGCACTGGAGGCACTTATTTGTCTATGCCAAGAAATTTGGAAGACAGCTACCTGGGCAACTGATTTGGAAGATAACTATATTTGTGCCCATTCAAAATAAAGGCAATCCAACAGAATATGGAAATTATTGAACAGGATCATTAATATCACACACAAGTAAAATTTTGCTGAAGATAATTCAAAACCAGTTGCAGCAGTATATTGACAGGGAACTTCCAGAAATGCAAACTGGATTCAGAAGAAGATGTGGAACAAGGGATATCATTGCTGAAGTTAGATGGATCTTAGCTGAAAGTAAAGAATACCAGAAAGATGTCTATCTACCTGTTTTATTGACTATGCAAAGGCATTTGACTGTGTGGATCATAACAAACTATGGTAACACTGCAAAGAATGGGAATTCCAGAATACTTAATTGTGCTCATGATGAACCTTTACACAGACCAAGAGGCTGTTATTCAAACACAACAAGGGGATACCATATGGTTTAAATCAGGAAGGGTATATACATCAGGGTTGTATCCTTTCACCATACTTATTCCATCTTTACACTGAGCAAATAATCCTAGATGCTGGACTACATAAAAAAGAACATGGCATCAGGACTGGAGGAAGACTCATTAACAACCTGCTGTATGCAGATGACACAACCTTGCTTGCTGAGAATGAGGATGGCCCGAAGAAGATTAAAAACTACAATCTTCAGTATGAATTATACCTCAAAATAAAGGAAACGAAAATCCTCACATGTGGACATATAAGCAATATCATGAAAAATGGAGAAAACATTGAAGTTGCCAGGGATTTTATTTTACTTAGATCCACAGTCAACATCCATGGAAGCAGCAGTCAGGAAATGAGACATACTGCACTGGGCAAATATGCTGCAAAAAACCTCTTTAAAGTGATAAAGAGCAAAGATGACTCTCTGAAGACTAAGGTGCACCTGACCCAAGCAATGGTATTTTCAATCACCTCATATGCATGTGAAAGCTGAACAATGAATAAACAAAACCAAAGAGTTGATGCCTTTGAAATGTGGTGTTGGGAAACAATACGGAAAATACCATGGACTGCCAGAAGAATGAACAATGCTGTCCTGGAAGAAGTGTAGCTGGAATACTTCTTGGAAGCGAGAATGGACAGACTTCATCTCCCCTACTTCAGTCATGTTGTCAAAAGGGACCATTCCCTGGAGAAGGATAACATTCTTGGTAAAGTAGAGAGTCAGCGAAGAAAGTATAGACCCTTCTTTAGTGGACTGAAACAGTGGCTGCAACTATGGGCTCAAATATACCGAGGACTGTAAGGATGCCACAGGACTGGGCAGTGTTTTGCTCTACTGTACATAGGGTCACTGTGAGTAGTCAGAGATAACTCAACTTCACTTAACAATACTACCATACACATGGAAACTGTGTAACAAAAACAGTAAATCAGTAAATTAGCTTTTATATATCTGCGCACTTAATTGAAAAAGTATACTTTACCCATACTAAAATTTAAATTAGTTAATAGGTTATTTTTAACAACTTTGGCACACAAATTGAATTGCAAAAGAAAATAAAAATATATATTAAAATGCATCAAAAGGATAGACAGTAAAATAATGTATTCTCTGTCATCAACTAGGGGCCAAAAAGCAAACTCAAATTTCTTGAAATAATCTGAGAAACTGTAGACTGTATGCTGGAAGCAAAATCCTTATGACTTTTACACAGGAAAAAAAAAATCGTCATTGAGTGCACTGCAACTCACAGTGACCTCATAGGAGAGAGAACTGCCCCATGGGGTTTACAAGGCTGTAAATCTTTACAAAAGCAGGTTGCCACATCTTTGTCCCATGGAGCACCTAGTTGCTTCAAACAGTGAACCTTTCAGTATGCAGTGAAGCGCTGAAATATGGGGCCACCAGGGCTCCTAACTTACACAGAACACACATATAAAGACAACTGAATTGTTTCAATTATTAGTCTGCTAAGGGAGCTCTAGCGGTGTAGTGCATAAGGCATTTGGCTGCTAACCAGAAAGTCAGTGGTTCAAATCCACAATCTACTCCATGGGAGGACGATGAAGCAATCTACTTCCATAAAGATTTACAGTATTGGAAACCCAATGGGGGTCACTATGAGTTGGAATTAACTTGATGGCAGTGAGTATTGTCTGCTATTAAAAAAATACAGACATCAGTGAATAAGAATAATTAAAAAGTACTTAGGCCAAAGCTCTTTTAAAATTCTTGTACATTACAAATTGATTACGCTAAAAAAAAATCAAACCTATGGATTTTTGTACTTTTCTAACCTCACTGTATATCCTATCAATCATTCTTACATTCAATAAGTACTATGGAATATAGAGGGAATAAATGGAGTGCATAATCTGTAGATGAAGAGTTAAGTTCAAGAAAAAAATATGTGAGGAGATTGGGGACACTGAATAGAAGCAGTCAGTCAATCAAAGGAGAAGAGAAGTAGTCATTCAAAGGAATACTGTGCACAAACGTCAGGAGGTGAGAGGAAGTATGGTACATTGTAGGAACTTCAAAGTGCATTTCCCTTTAATCAGATAGCACACAAATTCAAAATTCAGGTGATACCTCACCTAAATAGTTCAGTGCTGTTGCTGAACCTTCTATTTCACTGAATTTTAATTACCTGTTTACTTAGCTATCTTCCTCACTGCATCATAAACTCCAAACAAGAGTTTCAATCCAAATGGGCAAAAATTACACCTACATACTATCGAATATAGTGTCTGATATACAGCACAATAAATACTTGTTGAAAGAAGAAAATATGGCAAGAGTTTAGAGAGATCAGGTGAAGAAAGGCAAGTGATCAAGCTGGAGATCATCTCACACAAAATATAACTTCAAAAGAAAGTTGGCAAACTTCAGATCCAACTCTGTTTCTGTTATTAAGACACTATTTGACAGAGAATTGACTCAAGAGGGCCAATAAGGATATTAAATAATAAGGTTATGAATAATAAATACAACTAACAGCAAGAAAAAATCTTTGGTTTTTGTTCTTTTAAAGATAAATTATTGAATTCCTAAAACAAGACCCAAACACTTCCACAGACATATCTTTAAAAAATAAACACAGGCAATATTGAATTCCTCCTCCTTCTTCCAGATACCTAAGGATACTTTTTTAAAAACTACAACAGAAAACAAAGCAGTGGGTTGTTCTTTGTTTAAATAGAAAACTAATACCTCAAACACTTTTTTTAGTCTCCATTTTAACAAAAATATTAAATGCATTTAACATTTTAAACACAGTCCTGAAAAATAATTCAGTGGATCAAGCTTACTTTAGAAACAACAGAACCTCAAATTATTTTATTTTATTCACCCCTTAAAACACTTTGAATATTTCCCTCTTTTTTTGCTTTTCAGACATTTTATATATAAAACTCAATGTTTAATGGTAAAAGGAGTGGAATGTACTGTTAATAACCGATACCTAATCATAAGTTCCAGATTCCCCCTTTTGACAAATACAGAAGAATATAGCTCTCGATATATGCTAAATACTATTCTTGCCCCTTCTTACAGTAAAACTTTGGTAAACTCAGCATTTATATAAGCAATAAGCCATCATTCTATAAAAATATTTTTAGCTGTATGAAAAGTGAATTTACTCTGTAAATCTTCACCCAAATCCTAATTAAAAAAAATATATATATTTTTAGCTCTAATGCCAGCAGTGACAGCATGAAGGGAAACCTATAACTTAAATTTAATGTTACTAAATATGATACTTTTCATGGCTCAAAACAAAATATTTTTATGATTTAAATATCCATCTGAATCAAACTAATAAAGTCAATCTTTTTGGTAAGGATTAATGTGTTATATATACAATAAAAGAATTCTGCTTATTTCCTGCTTGTCATCATTTTATAGTCTTTACTAGATAACTTGGATTCAGCAGAACCACCTCTAAAATTTAGTTCTACTAAAATTTCCAATTGCCTCTCTTCATCCTCTGTCCCAAATATACGCAAAGTCTAATTACTGAGACGACTATAAACAAATGACTACTTTAGTCTGGATTTCACCATTCTATTTTAATATGATTCGAAGCAATTTTAATAAAAGATAGAACAGTAATATTCACTATATGAGTTTACTTTTAAAATAGAGTCTAGTTTTAAAATTGCTTATAAAAAAATACTCTCATTCCAGGGCAGGTTTTAGAAAGTTGCCTCATCTCTTTTGATAGCAATGAAGTGTATAAATATAAAAGTGTGATATACGTGCCCATGGCTATTATCTCCACTAGCACTAATCAAACTTTGACTGTGCCAACAGCTCTGGGATCAAGGCACAGTTTTATGAAGGCCTGAAAACTGATATACTTTTTTATCAATAACTGGGAAATTGTATTTTCTTAAATCGTAAAGTAACTATGATGCCAGTGACTTTACTGAGGATAATCCTTTAAAAATGGAAAGATAGGGTGTTTAAGATGACTTACACTATGGAAATAGGACATAATTTACATACCTCATTGATGTTTAAAAATTATGTATAATAATAATTTTTAAAAAATTGTTATAATACTCACCTGAAGTTTAGACTGAAGAGTCAGGTAAATACGAAGAACTTCTACACTGCTGCGTATGCGAACAGATGCTCTCTCTGGCTCAAAGTTTGGGTTGATCAAATCATTGAAGGGTTCATTTGTAACATCATTCCCCAGTAAAGAATAGTAAAAGAAAAACTCAGGTTGTCTTTCTGGAAGTTTCATGGTACATGGAATTAACTAAACATTCAAGAGAAAGGAAAAAATATTATTTTCTTAACCAATAAAAGTACTTAGTAGGTCTGATAAACTCTAAAAACATTTGCTAAAATCTTGATTTTTTTTTATTGAAGTTTTTAAAATTAACACTGAAATAAAACTTCCATATATCTAGTAACCAAATTACAAATTCAATTAATTTTTGAAAGTTTGTCTTAGAAAAATTTTTATTTCATCCAACTTGTTCTTGAATCAAGGAGCTCTGCTGGTGTAGTGTAGAATTTAGCTGAAAACCAAAAGGTGAGTGGTTTGAACCCACCAGCTGCTCCGCTGAAGAAAGATGAGGCAGTCTGCTTCTGTAAAGATTTATAGCCTTGGAAACCCAATGGGGATTGCTATGAGTCAAAATTGACTTGACAGCAGTGAGTATGATTTGGTTTGGTCCTTGAATCAAAAAAGCTGAAGAGTGTTGGGAAAGAAACCAGTCAAACATTCTAAACTGAGTTTTCCTTATTTTCCATATTTATTTCACCTACTTCTTACACTTTCGTCAGAGACTTTACTACATAGATAAGGTTTTATAAAAAAATTCTTAGCCAAGAGCATTTAATACTATCTTGATCTGTTGTTGTTGTTGTTGTTGTTTTGCCGTCGAGTCGGCCCCGACTCATAGCGACCCCTCCTTGGGTTTCCGAGGCAGTATCACTACGGAAGTAGGATTGCCCAACCTTCCTTCCGAGGAGTGGCTGGTGGGTAGGCAAAAAAATTATTAGTTATTCTATATTATTTCTGAGGAGTGTAATTCAAAGAGACTTTTATTTTCTTCCATTATCAGGAAAGCCTAAAAATCTTAGGAAATAAAGATAACTCTTATGTATTTCACAGTACATTTAATTATAAATAATTCCCACTTTTGGAGATTCTTTTAAAAATCTTTCATTATCCTGGGATTTAGAGATTTTCTTTTACCCTTTGTTTTCAATATGTTAAAAAAAAAAAAAGGGAAATAAAATCATCACCACTCAGTCTTCTCACTTCAAACTCATTTCTCCTCACTACTACAAATTTACAGTATCATGCCATAAATCACTGCTTGGCATCTGAAGAATTTGTTTGTTTGTTTATTGCTAGGTATTTTTACACACCGCCTTTGACTTGACTGAGAAAAAAAAAATTAAATGACTAATTTTTAAAATTGTTGGCTTGTCTATAAAAAATAAACGAAGAAACAGGAAGCAATATTAAAGGATAAATGGTGTATTTAGCATTTAATTTTTAATGGAGATAGCAAAGAGCCTATCACAAAGATATGTCCCACCAAGTCACCCTGCATTACAAAGATATATTAGTTTTAATTATGTAAGCAACAGGTCAATTATCTATAGCAAGCTTTACCATCAAATGTCATGTCTCACATACAAGGTAGGCAAATATTATGTGCTAAGTACTTTACTTGTATTATCTCACTCACCATGCATATCTGCAAACCTGGCAGTATCATGATTATACAATTGAGAAATACCAAACTTCAGAAAGGTTAAGTAATATGTCTAAATTAAAAGAGAAGGAAATATTGAAAATGAGATCCCAACTCATATATCCATCTTATTCCAAACACCAAAGAAGGCAACAATACTTAATATGGGAACAGTAGCATGGAACATGACCCTGTCATCAGAAACACTTAGGTCACTTGTTAGGTATAAAACCTCCCTAAGACTCAGTTTTCTCATCAAGAAAATAGAAATAACAATCCCCTAAAGTTTTGTGAGATTAAATGCAATACATGCAAAGTACTTAGCATAAGACGTATTACACATAAAACATGGTAAATGATAAATACATATTAACAATTATGCCACGTTTTCCAAGGAGTCAAAAATTATAAAAAATAAAATGGCAATTTATAATGCCTTGCAAATATGTTAAAAAGTACAGTTAAAAAATATAGACTCTTAATTATATGAAATGTAGACAACAGTGTTCTGATGTGATTAATAAAAAAAATAAATATAGTGGACAGCTACCAAACCAAAATGACATATTAAGCTGGGACAGTCTACCAGCAGAATTTTATGAAGAGAAAGAAATTAATGGACAAAAACAAAAGTTGACATATAAAGTATAAATAAAGAAGTGACAGTACCAAATTAGGAGAGGAAGAAAAAGTGCTCCAAGAACACATACATAAAGTGCTTTTTCCAATACACATGAATTCAGTGTGGCAAATTAAATTAAATTAAATCAAATTAAATTTCCTGAGAAAAATCTTTACCTGATAAACTGGTAAGTCAAGTAAAAATGAGGTCACTAATCATATGCCAAAAGTCTTGATGGCACAGTGGCTAAGCTCTCGGCTGCTAACTAAAAGGTTGTCTAGGTTCAAATGTACCAGCTGCTCCACTGGAAAAAGATGCCTCAGTCCGCTTCCATAAAGATTACAGCCTTGGCAACCCTATAGAACAGTGCTATTCTGTCCTATAGTGTCACTATGAGGTGGAATTGACTCAAGGGCAATGGGTTATTTGCCAGGGGCCTGTGAGCTTCCCTGCCAAGACTGAGTGAGCGTGCCAAGACTGCAACGCCTTGCCTGTTCTTTTAACCAGGTGTTTCCCAGGGTTGTTGATGCAGATGGTAACCTTGAGAGGTAAGATAATATGTCTTCTGGGACAAAGACCAGACCTGTTCATTGCTTACAATAAAAGTGTTGGACTCCCCAAGTTCAGTGTTTCACAGCTACAATACAAACCCACCACCTGTGAGCAACCACCTGGGTGTCTCTATGAAGTCCCCATGAGACTTGGTGGTAAGAGGAACTAAAGGAAATATGCTGATATTCACACTGTTTGCTGTGCCAAGAGTAACGAAGTCCTGTCTCTAACCCAAGAATGCCACATGTTCTGACAGAATTCATGAAACAAAACAGGCTGTCTTATTAGCTTATAGAGTAAACCTAATCCCAGACCCAATGGCCATTAAAATATTACTGAGAGAGTGTGCTCCGCATATTATAAGTTTCTCCCAAAAGTTATTCAATACTTAAAATGAAACACTTTCCTTTCATGCTAGTCTTCAAAATGCCACAAGGGAAAATAACACTTTCTTACAATCATTCTTCTAAATCCTGACAAATTTAATTTATTCTCTAACTATCACTACCCAAGATCATCCAAATCTGGGTCCTATTTTGTCCGTCCCCCCCCCCGCCCACAGAAATGAAAAATGCTTTCTGGTATGAAAGAAAACATTTTCCAAAATGAATTTTTAGAAGTGAAAAAAATCTACTTGCTAAACTTTTTAATAATTAAAATTAAAAAGTAGAATTTTTTAAAAAATAGCTTTGAAATTCTTTATAAATCAAAAGGTAAAAGTCTCACCTGCTCCAGCTGGGTGGCAAATGCTATGGTCACTGACATAATGAAGGAGTCAGTACAATACTCTGCTGGTCCAATCTGATGGTAGCCTCCCTCCTCATTCAGCACTGCCACAATGTCTTTGGGGTCAAGTCCAAACAGGCTGGCAGGTACTTAAGAGAGTAAAACATTAATGAAACTACATTGTAATTTGGCATAATCCGCTACAAGATTTTTAAAAGCTAATTAATAGTTGATACACTTCCATTTGCTTGGCAGTTTTCATGGTCACTATTATTATCTTAGTCAGGTTTCTTATTTTCTACACATTGTCCAAATAACCCTTATTTAATCAACATTTTCTTTCTATACAAGAAAGCCAAATTCTGAAATAAGATAAATCACTTTTAAACTTCAATTTAATAAACTATATAAGAAAGGCATTCAGTACAAATTACCCAAAGGAAATGAATCTAAACTGGGAACTGAAGAAGCAACAAGATTTGGCTAAGAAAAGAAAGGTGCTTGAATAGAAAATGGGAAAGTGAAATGTGAGTGTTCCAAGCAGAACAGTATGTACAAAGACTCAGAAGATAGAAAACAAAAGTGTTAAAAGCTTGTAAGCAGCCATCTAAGATGCAACTATCAGTCTCTCCACACCTAGTGCGAAGAAGAGAGAAGAAAATCAAAGACGTACAGTAAGGAACTAGTGGACCATGGGAACCTCAGCATCTATGACCTTGAGACCAGAAGAACTATACCTGCCAATGCCAACAACTCTAAAAGGGATCAAAATTGGAGATCCTGAGTAGAATGGGAGCAAATGTGGAACAAAACTCAAAATCATAAAAAAAGACCAAGCTTACTCGCCTGATAGAGACTAGCAGACCCTACAAGACTATGGCCCTTAGTCATTCTTCAGGCCTAGAAATGTACTCATTCACATGGTTCAACCTTCAGCCAAACAACAAACAGACCTGTGAGGTAAACAATAACACCAAAGAGGTAAAACTCCTTAGAACAATCAACCATAAGAGATCAAAAGGGCAGCATTTGCCCAGGGATAAAGCTCAGAAGGCAAAAATGAATAGGAAAGGACAAAGGAAAATTGTGGGATTGTAAACAATGTCAGAAAACGAAATGTGTATGAATTGTTGAATCGAAAACCAATTTGCTCTGTAACATTCAACCAAATCACAGTAAGTTTAAAAATATAAAAAACGTGGTTAAAGAATTGAAACAGATGTGGAGTGCTGGATCATACAGCAAAGTCAGACGTATAGGAGGATGTGATAGTTAGGGAGAAGTCAGATCAAAAAAGTTCTTCCAGAATGCATGTTGAAACATTTGGATAGTTTTCTAATAAAGGAAAATCATGAAACAATTCTGAGAAAAAAAATAAACCCACTGCCATCAAGTCGATTCTGACTCATAGCAACCCTACAGAACAGAGTAGAACTGCCCCATAGCATTTCCAAGACTGTCAATCTTTATGGAAGCAGACTGCCTCATCTTTCTCCCACGGAACAGCTGGTCAGTTTGAACTATGGACCTCCTGGTTAGCAGTCAAATACCTTAACCAATGTGCTACCAGAGCTCCATCACTTTAAGAAGTAAAGCAATATAATCATATAAGCTCAGTGTGAAGGGACTCAGAGGGACAAGGGTTCTTCAAATTGGTTAAACACATAGATACACACACATAACCAAAACAGCAGACCATATCCAGCATTGGGGAAAATGCAGGAAAGCGGGTATTCTCGATACTGCCAAGTATAGACTACTACAACTTTTTGGAGATGATGTGTCAGAGATTATCAAATTTTATATATGCATATCCTAAAACCAAGCAATCTCTCTTCTCATAGTTAATCCTAAAGAGATAACATGCTTACTATAGCATTGGCTGAAAATAGTATAATGATTAAGAGCAAAGATTGCTGAGTCACAGAGAGGTTCCAATCCCAGGTCTGCTATTCAACTAGTGAAGCTGAATAGAAAAATTACATGACCTCCTTTAATCTCCATTTTTCTTCTATGGAACTTCTTATAGAGCTGTGAGATTAAATTAAATAACAAAAGTAAAGAACTTTGGACAGTATCCAACACATTAAAGCACATTAATAAGGGTAGCCATTGTATAGTAATGCAATAGGGCTTAGACATTAATATTACTGGCAGGTTTCTCACTGCTGGGGAAAGAAGATACATGTATGGAAAGGGAGAAAACTAGAATGAATCTTGTGGTATAGGACTAAAACTGGAACTGCTGATGTGAATCCATGCTGTTCCATATATATGGATAAATACATAGATATAAAAGTGTATGTATATATACACAATTTTGAGTATATATGTGTATGTGTATACATGTAATATGTACATATGCATAGATATGTGTGTACACATACATGCACATATTCCCTAACTTTGTCCATTGACAGGTGCAATGCTGATATCCCAATAGCAACAAGCATACTTAGCAGCCAGATCTTGACTTCAAACATAACTCTTAACTAAAAGGAAGCAGAGTTTCTTGGAGAAATGTGTGAATTCAGGGTGGATCCAGGGAAAGTAAAGATGAGCCTGGAACATGTTCTTGTCCCAGTAGCAACAAGCATACCTAGCACCCAGACCTTGACTTCAAACATAACTCTGAACTAAAAGGAAGCAGAACTTCTTAAAGAAATAGTTGAATCCAGGGTGGATCCAAGGAAAGTAAAGATGAGCCTGGAACATGTTCTTGTGTCAGAAAGCAAGAAAAGGTCAAAGAATGATCAGAACAGTCAAAACAAACCAGAAGCAGCTTGAAACGGCTCCTGCTGGCCAAATCTGGGACAAATAAATTATGACTGTTAATCCACTAACAGAAAGAGAAAACTATGAGTCCATACTGATATAAATAAATGAACAAATTGTAGGTTGGATAAGAATGGAATATTTTCATAATACTTCCCCACAAAACACTTCTAAATTACCAAAAAAACAGATGTATAATTGAGAAGACTGACACACCTTAATCAAGTGATTAAAGTAAACATCATCAGTAATGGGACAAATCAAAATTGTTCAGCACCTAACAGAATGCAATGAGAAGAGTATACTATCACTTCCATGAGATTTCTGTCAGAGGTACATAACTCCAATCTAATGTCAGACAAACCCAAGTCAAGGGACAGTCTAGAAAATCACTGTCCTATAATCTTCAAAAAGTTCAAATATGAAAAAACTGAGGATTTGTTTCAGTCTGAAGGAGAATCGAACCAAACTAAAACTAAATCCATTGTCATCGGGTCGACTCCAACTCAGAACAACCCTACCAAAAGGGAAATCTAGAGACATAAAAACTAAATGCCACACCTCATTCTAAACAAGATACTTCTGCTACAAAAGGTATGAGGACAACTGGTGAAACCTGAATAGGATTAGGTAATAGCAATGCATCAATGTTATATTAATGTATTGTCAACATTAACTTTAAAGACTGTATCATGATTATTTAGCACATCCTTTATTCCTATGAAATAAACAGGCAAGCATGCAGGTACCCTGTTGTTGTTAGGTGTCACCAAATCAGCCCCTTGACTGATGGTGACCTCATGTACAATGCAGGGCCCAGCCCAGCACCATCCCCATGAATGGTTGTGGATCAAACCATTATGATCCACAGGGTTTTCATAGGCTGATTTTTCAGAAGTAGACTCACCAGGCCTTTCTTGCTAGGCCATTTTAGTCTAGAAGCTCCAGGGAAACTTGTTCAGTATCACAGTACCACATAAGCCTCCACTGACAAATGGGTGGTGGTTGCAGGTGAAGTACACTAGCAAGGAATTGAACCCTGGTCTATCCTCATGAAAGGTGAGAATTCTACCACTGAACCACCAATGCCTTCTATACAAATACTATAGGTAGGCAAATTACTCTCAAAATGGTCCAGGTGAAAAAAAAATTCTTCTTTATAATATACTTCTAACTTTTCTGTACGTTTTGTGATTGTTTCATAACAGAAACAAATTATAGATAAGTTTTTAACTAAAAAAAATAATAATAAAGGCTCTAGAATCTGACTTCTGAGTTCTTATCGCCTAGCTTCATTACTTACAATTTACAGCATCTTGGCAAAATACAACAATTCTGATATTTAGTTTTCCCATCTCTTGAGTTTATGGTGCCTACAAGCCATCCAAATGAAGATGTTCAGGAGGCAGGTGGATATTTGGGTCTGAAGGCCTGGGTGGGGGGTCTTTGACATACAAAGAGTATAAATGAAGCCAAGGGAATAGGTAAGATCACATGGGAAGACTGTATACAGAATGAGAGAAGACATCTCTTTAATATTTAAAGGCTAGGAAGAGGAAGAAAATATCTAAATGTTACAAAGAACTGGCCAGAGAAGTTAAAGGAAAAACAGCTTTTGTTAAAATTCTGAATTACAATTTCCATAATCCCAAACTCTAGAAGGCAACTACCAATTTACAATTAAACTTTGGGGACAAGACACTAATTTGTAAATACACTACTCTCAACTAAAAATACATGTGCCCTGAGAACCAGTGTTTTAAATGTTAATTTTACATATAATTCCAAGACATTACATTCAACTTGACTGAAACATAGCAGAATACCAATTATATTATTTCAATTTCACTATTTGTTTTTATCTGAAAGTGCTTATTTCTAGAAGAAATATATCTTCATCCTCCACATAAAAGAAAATATCATTTTATCCAAGTGAAAACTGCAACACCAAATATTTAAAAAGAAGTATGAAGTGTTTTTAAAAAACTACAGTTGAGTTAATAAACACAAAACAATCCAAGAATTTTAGGCTTTCATATACTCATTCTAAGACAAAAGTTTCCTAAGTAGTGATTTTTAAAAATACAAAATTCTGCTTTTTTCTGCTATATGTCAAATGAACTAAATGAAATGAGATTAAATTGCTAATGTAAACAACAGCTAAAAGCAACAGTTTTACATGTGTAACAATGTCACAATTATTTCTCTGATGCACTAGAACAAAATCAGCTTTGACACCTGTATATATTTCCCTATAATAGTCCCCCATTCTAAAGGTCTAATTCAAAACTGGAACTTCCCAGAGAAATGTCCTTAGAGATGATGCACAAACCTTTTCCATCTCGAGGGGGTGCTCCTTTTGCTTTAAAACTATCTGCTGGTGCTTTTGTGTCTGTTTCCAAAGCAATGCTTATCTGTATTTCAGACTTGAACTTGGTATATTTATTACTCAGTAATTGGTACCATTTTGGTGGCTAGAGAATAACAATAACAACACATCTTAATAGTTAAAACAAAGTAAAAGTATTGGGAAATGTTCTATATTATTCCAATTAGATTTCCTATAATATATCAGTACTTGCCTCTTTTTTAAAATTTTTCCCACATTTTCTGCAAGACATTAATCCTAATTTGGAAGCCTTTAATCGAATTTCCCTTTGAAAAAATTAAGTACACAAGTTTAGATTGTCTTCCTTGCTTCCACTCCTAAGCTTCTACAGGTAGATTAAAGGGAAGAAAGCAAATATATTTTTTACCTTTAGCCCTGAATCCTCAATCTCACTTTATCCCTATTTAAAAAAAAAAAAAAAACTACCAATTTTCAGTTTTCCTAATTTCTACTTTTTCACACATCCTATTATACCTCTTCTGCTGGACATATTTCCATTTTGTTCTACATATATCAAATAAAAGGAAAATAAAAGCTTAGTGTTTATAAAAACAGTAATACAATAATATAGTAAATGTCTAATGGTACAATTTTCAGTTATAAACCATACACTTGATTGATTTTAAAACATGAAGGCCTTCTTATAGAATGAAGTATAAATTACCTCAATATTCTCCCAGAGACACTGGCTAACAGAGATAAGTTAGATCAGACTTAAATGGCCGTGGTGAAAACTCTGGCTTTACCATTAGGGCAATGGGAAAACATTAAGGAGGATTTCTTTCTTTTTTCTTTTTTTGGAGGAAGGATGGAGGGAATATATACACAACATAAATGTGTTTCACTAAATTCACTTGTTTTGACTACTATGTAAGGAATTCAGAAAGCAGAAACCAGGGAGACTAGTTAGAAGGCTATACTGATAACCAAAGAGAAAATAATAGTGATTTAGGATGGGGTGGCAGCTGTGAAAATGCAAAGTAGTGAATGGATCATGAGGAAACAAACCAACTGGAAAGGGTGACTACAGAAGCAGGACAAGGGAGGTTTTCAAGGAAGACTTCCATATTTCTAGCTTGCAAAACTGGAAGGACAGTGGTTACAATTCATCAAAGGAAATACTCCTTTTCTTTGAAAGGAAAGCTCAGGAACTGCATACATTGAGCTTGAGGTAATATGAACACGGACACAGGTTTAGGCTTAGACGGAAGTTTTTGAGAAAGATAGTTCCAGATTAAAGGAATGATTTAAAAGTCAGAATTTTCTAAGCCAAAAATATACAAAATAAAATACAAGAATTGCCATATTGGCTCAAGTACATGATCTATCAGATTCAATATTCCATGTTTTTTCAATCAATCTAATTATCTCCTAAAAACAATCAACTAACATTATCATTTACAAAATGCCTTAAAGGGCAACAATACCTGCTTTGTTTCTTGAGCAGTTCTTAAGTCCAGAACAATGTAACCTATAGTTTCCTTGACTGAAGATAAAGGATCCAAGGCAAAACACTGGAGTTTAATAGGAGTACGTTGTAGCCTGGAACATAATTATGTAATGAATAAAATGCTTTTTGTTTAATATTGATTTAGCCTTCCATTAGCCTTTTTTCAAGTGTCTACTACTATCAAGTCAATTGCAGTTTTGTTGGATAAGCTGTTTTCACTCTGTATTTTCTGAAAAACTCTTCACCAGGAAGAGTCTGTCTACTTAAGTAATATATAAAACATGTCCAAGTTTTAGTCTTTATTGTCAATGAGGCTATCATGTAGTCAGTATTTCACAAATTTCTGTAATCACAGAAGTGCAAAGAACCCTTAATAGGCAAAAATTATCATAAATCCCTGGGATTAGTTTTAAATAAGTTTTCTGACATTGTTATAAATATATAAAACTACAAATATACATTATGTGCATAGAGCTTTTTTGTAACTATGAACCAAAACAAATTTAGGAACTAAATATCCTCGGAAGGAAGGTTGGGCAATCCTACTTCCGTAGTGATACTGCCTCAGAAACCCAAGGAGGGGTCGCTATGAGTCAGGGCCAACTCAACGGCAAACAACAACAACAAATATCATAAAACCATAAACTATTAAAATTTAAACAAACAATAAATTAATGCAACAAATGATAATGCCCCTAAAGGTGCTTACACAGTGAGTCGATTAGATTCTGCCATTACTCTTATCTACTGGAATCACTATGAAACCTGCACTTGGCACAAAATCACCATTTACATATTCAGTTTATCTGTGTTATTTTCTTAAGCCTCCACTAGAGTGGTTCCTCTTGGCACTGGTACAATTATAAATACAACCATAAATGCAGCACTAACCTCTCACAGCACCACCCTCAGGGGACATTCCAGAAGTCATTCAAAGGCAATACAAAATTGTTATATCCTCTAAGAATATACTACCTCTTCAAATAAATCCATGAACTAATATAGCAATAAAAGAAAATAAACTTCTACTTGCTTTCATTTTTCAAAAATTTCTATTTTGATTTGTTTTAGTACTGAGAAAGCACAAGTACTTAAGTGATTATGTATTTCTCAAGAAGGAAATTATTAATTTTTTAAAAAATTAAAATTTACCAATGTTCTTGCTAGCCTCTGGTCACAAGAGTTCATGAAATAATAAAATGCTTAAGAAGAAAATGTATTTTTAATTTTTTTTCAATAAAAAATTATCAATGTTCTTGCTAGCTTCTGGTCACAAGCGGTCTTGAAATGAATTTAATGCTATATATATATAATATATTATTATATATGATTAAATGTCTAAAGTTAAATATAAAATTAATTCAAAAAAACTAATGATTTTTATAACTTTTCACTTGACATCTTTATATATCATTGGCAAGGCAGGTAAAATATACAGTAAATGAATTAATAGAAATTACAACAGAAATTATAACAAATTCCAATCCATATTTAATATTAGATGGGCATCCTTACAGTACTTCCTATAGTCTCACACATTAGTCACAAAGAAAAAGCAGCTTAAGATCTGGAGCTAGACTGCCTGGATTCTACAACTATCCAGCTGAGTGACTAGAACAAGTTACTTAATCTCTTATGCCTCAGTTTCTTCATCTGCACTGTAGGGAAAATAATATCTACTTCATGGAGTTGTTCTGAAGTTTAAATGAGTTACTAATAATGTAAAGTGTTTTGAAAAATAAATGCTAGTATTATCACACCATAACTTATTAAGACAAATATAAACTTTTAACAGACTATAAAAAATGAATAATAAAGATGCTAGCTTAAATTAAAAATAATAGTCATATAACTCAGAAAGCAGGGTGAAAATGATTCCCCAACTCAAAAGAATGTAATTTACATCACTCAAACATACATGTAGAAACCTAAATTGGTGCTTTTATTTTTTTAATTTTTATTGTGATTTGGGTGAAAGTTTACAGAGCAAATTCATTTTCCATAGAGCAGTTCACATATACTGTCTCATGACATTGACTGCAATTTCCCACAATACAACAGCTCTCTTCCCACTTCCTCTCCATAGCTACCTCTTTTCTGTGTCATTCCCTCCATGCACTCCTGCCCACCAAGTTGCCTCCCTGTGTATACAAAGCCGTTCTATTCTCCCATGATTGATTTCTCCAAGAAGTATATCTACCTAACGTAAACATTCAGTTTATATGCCTGTCTTTTGTCTGGCTAAAGCCACAGCAGTAGGTTCAATTCCCGACTTGAAGGGCAGCTAGGGGCCATAGTGTCAGGGTTTCACCAGGCTCTATCAGACCAACAAACCTGGTCCCTTTTTTTTTTTTTTTTAATGATTTTGAGTTTTATTCTACATTGTTCTCCCACTTTACCCAGGATCTCCTACAGAGATCCTCCTCCAAGTGGTTGATAGTGGCAGCCGGGCACCATCTACTTCTTCTGGTCTCACAGTCATATAGGCTGAGGATAGCATGGTGGACCAGTTCCTTGGACTAATTGTTTCCATGGGACTTTGGTTTTCTTCATTCTTCTTCGCTCTGGACAGAGAGCCATCGTTGCATCCAGATGGCCAGCCGCTTGCAAGCTTTTAAGATCCCAGTCACTACTCACCAAAGTAGAATGTGGAACGATGATTTTGTGTAACAGGTTATGCCAATTGAGCTTAATGTCCCCTGCGACCATGGACCCGAGCCCACATGTCCAATTACTTGATCTCTCCAGGTAGCTGGCTGTGGCCAAGAAGTGACTACAACCTTCCCACTTGTCAGCTCTATTACATACCTAAAAATTCTTACAGAACATACAAATATACTTGTAGAAACATTGTCTTCCAACCATAGTCATGGACACACTCCCTATTACATAGACATACCTGTCTATCCATCTGTCCAACCGTGTATCAATTGTTGCTCTCACTGACAACACAGTACTATATGTGCAAAAGGCTTCATCTGTGTTGTCTGTACCACCCATGCACCTCTCTCTGTCTTCTCCTTCCTCAATGCCACCACGTTGATCACTCACATTTGGTACACTGCTCTTCCCTTCACCCAAACCTGAATTGGTGTATGTTTTTACTGTGCATATTCTCAAAAACAAAAAATATATAATTTTTAAAATGAAGAAAATAATGGTCACCTGTGCTGATGAAGTGCTTTCCTGTCAATTTCCCAAGCTAACTCAGTAGCAAATTCTGGCTGGTCAGTATGGTCCACAGGATCAGTAGCCAACTGTTCTCCATCAAACTTTGCTTCTACTACAAGCATATGCTTTGGACGTTTAGGGAAATGACGACCTGGAAGAGTGAGATTAGACAAATTAATTGGGAGTATGTAAAATTCAAATAGGATCATTTAGTGTGTGTTTTTAAAATTGACATGTTAAGGGTAGCTGCCTTATCATGTATTCCATAAACTACCCAAAAACATACTGCTACACACTCACATTCATAATTCATAAGAAAGATGAATCAAATATTAAGGAAACAGACTACTAAAAACATCTGGTGGAGAATAAGAGTTCCCAACCAAGACATTCACAAAGGAAACTCATTCATTCAGAAGTTTTTAGTTAGCATTTCAAATATTAGGAGGGTCACCTTTGGTGGACAGGTTTCAGGTGAGCTTCCAGACTAAGACAGCCTGGGTTGAACAACCTGGCAATCTACTTCTGAAAAAACTTGGCCAGTGAAAACCTTACGGATAGCAGAAAAAGACTGTTATAGTGTTGGAAGATGAGCCCTCAGCTTGGAAGGCATTCAAAATATGACTGGGGAAGAGCTTCTTCCTCAAAGTACAGCTGACTTTAATGACGTGGATGGAGAAAACCTCTCAGGACCTACTTTGCTGTTGTGGCACGACACAATGCAAAGAAACAGCAGCAAACACCCATTGATAATTTGGAAAATATGACGGTTTGTTTTATTTTTAAAACATATTAAGTATTAGTCAGTGCTAAGGCACTTGACTGCTAACCAGAAGTGACACTGCCTCAGAAACCCAAGGAGGGGTCACTATGAGTTGGGCTCAACGGCATATAACAACAACAACAAGTACGAGTCAAGGAAAATTTGAAGTTGTCAAAAATGAAACGGAATGTTTGAAGATAGATAATCCTAGGCATTACTGAGCTGAAAGGGACTGGAATTAGCCGTTTTGAATCAGAGACAGAAGACCAGTTAAAACGACTATTGTTCAAATTTACACACCAACCACTAAATGCCAATGATGAAGAAATTGAAAATTTTTACCAATTTTTATAGTCTGAAATTGACCAAACATGCAATCAAGAAGTACTGATAATTACTAGTGATTGGAATGTGAAAGTTAGACAATGAAGGGTGGTAGTTGGAAAATATGGCCTTGGTGATAGAAAGGATGTTGGAGATTACATGACAGCATTTTGCAAGACCAATGACCTATCATTCATTGCAAATACTGTTTTTCAACAACATCAACAGCCACTACACACATGGACGTAGCCAGATGGAATACACAAGAATCAAACTACTACATCTGTGAAAGAGACGATGAAGAAACTCAGTGTCATCAGTCAGAACAAAGCCAAAGGCCCACCGTGGAACAGACCTTCAACTGCTCATATGCAAGCTCAAGTTAAAGCTGAAGAAAATTTTAAAGAGTCCACAAGAGCAAAAGTACAACCTCAAGTACATCCCACTGGAATTTAGAGACCGTCTCAATAGATTTGATGCACTGAACACAATAAACAAAAGAAGACCAGACAAGTTGTGGGATAACATCAAGGACATCAAAATGAAAAACCAAAAGGTCATTAAAATGACAAGAAACAAAGAAAAACCAAAATGGACATCAGAAGAGACTCTGAAACTTGCTTTTGAATGTAGAATACCAAACAAATGGAAGAAATGATGATGTGAAAGAGTGAACAGGAGATTTAAAAGGGAGGCTCAAGAAGACAAAGTATTATAATGAAATAATGCAAAGACTTTGTGTTAGAAGACTAAAAGGGAAGAAAACCCTTGGCATTTCGAGCTAAAAGAACTGAAGAAGAAATTCAGGCCTCAAGTTACAATGTTGAAAGACTCTGTTAGTATATTGAACGACATAGGAAATATCAAAAGAATATAGAAGGAATACAGAGTCACTGTACAAAAAGATTGGTCAACATTCAACCATTTCAGGAGGTAGCACATTACCAAGAAAAGATGGTGATAAGGAAAAGTCCAAGCTACATTAAAGGAATTGGCAAAAATGAAGGCTCCAAGAATTGTCTGAATAGCAATTGAGATGCTTCAATAAGTGGACATAACACTGAAAGCACTTTCTCGTCTATGCCAAGAAATTTGGAAGACAGCTACCTGACCAAATGACTAGAAGAAATTCATATCTGTGCCCATTCAAAAGAAAGGCTATCTCACATAATGCAGAAATTATTAAATTAACATCATATGCAAGTAAAATTTTGCTGAAGGTAATTCAAAAACAGTTGCAGCAGTACCACAAGAAGAAACTGCCAGAAATTCAAGTTGTATTCAACAAAGGACATGGAAAGAGGGACATCAATGCTGATGTCAAATTGATCTTGGCTGAAAGCAGAGAATACCAGAAAGATGTCTGCCTGTGTTTTATTGACTATGCAAAGGCACTCAACTGTGTGAATCATAACAAATTATGATGAAAACTGCAAAGAATGGGAATTCCAGAACACATAACTTGCTCATGAGTAACCTATACACAGACCAAGAGGCAATTGTTCAAACAGAGTAAGGGGGTAATGCATGGTTTAAAATCAAGAAAGGTTGAAGGCTGCTTATGCACAGGGAGACAGCTCAGGGGGCAGGAGTGCATGGAGTGATGGACACAGGGAAGAGATAACTATCGGGAGGAAGTGGGAGGGGAGATGTTGCATTGTGGTAAATTGTGGTCCATGTCATGAGACAAAGTATATGTGACCTGCTGTATGGAAAGTGTATTTGCTCTGTGAATTTTCACTCAAATCACAATAAAAAGAAAAAAAGAAAGGTGTGTGAGGGGGTTACATCTTTTTGCCACACTTACTCAGTCTATACACTGAACAAATAATATGAGAAACTAGACTATATAAAGAATGAAGAATCAGGATTGGAGGAAGACCCATTACCAATCTGTGATAGGCAGATGACACAACCTTCCCTGCTGATAAAGTGAAGATGACTTGTGAAGATGAAAGACCACACAGCCTTCAGTATGTATTACATGTCAACCTAAAGAAAACAAAAATCCTTACAACTGGACCCATAAGCAATATCATGATAAACAGGAAAATATTAAAGTTGTCAAAGATTTCATTTTACTGAATCTACAATCAGCATCTATGCAAGCAGCAGTCAAGATATCAAATCATGTATTACAAAGATGTTACTTTGAGGACTAAAGTGCACCTGACCCAAGTCATGGTATTTTCAATCTCCTCATATGCATGCAAAACCTGGACAATGAATAAAGAAGACTGAAGAAGAACTGATGCCTTTGAATTATGGTGTTGGGAAAGAATACTGACCATTACATAACCTCTATGGACTCCCAGAATAATGAATAAATCTGCCTTGCACAAAGGACAGCCAGGATGCTCCTTAGAAGCGAGGATGGAAAGACTTCGTCTCACAGACTTTGAACATGTTAACAGGAGGGACCAGTCCCTGGAGAAGGTTATCATGCTTGGTAAAGTAAAGGATGACTGAAAAAAAGGAAGGCTTTTAGCAAGATGTTTTGACACAGTGGCTGCAACAATGGGCACCGACATAACAAAGATTGAAAGGATGGCACAGTACTGGGTACTGTTTCATTCTGTCCTAGGTAGGGTCACTATGAGTCGGAACCAACTTGAGGCACCTAATACCAAGAACAATATTGTTTAGAAAAAAAGCCCTGGTGGTGCACTGGTTAAGTACTCAGTTGCTATGCAAAAGATCAGCAGTTCAAACCTATTAACTGTTCCACAGGAGAAAGATGTGGCAGTCTGTTTCCATAAATATTTACAGCCTTGAATATCCTGTTAGACACTTCTACTCTGTTCTATGAGGTTGCTATCAGTCAGAATCAACTTGACAGCAATAAGTTTTCATTATTTAGAAAATAAAGTCAACACTTGGTGACCATTTGGAAATTGAGAATGGGGAAAGTCATCCAACATGACTCCCAAGTTCTGGGTTTGAAGCAACAAAAGTGGTTATGATAAATGGAAATACAAACACAGAGAAACAATTTGGAGGGAGGATCACATGCCAATTTTAGATGTTTGTTTGTGGCAACAAGCTCTAATTGACAACCCTGACTCCAGGTTTTCTTGCCTACATACTACTACCAATCTTGTGAAAACACACTCTCCAATTTAGAAATAAGTGCTTCCTCCCTATGTCATAGCACATTAAGTCTAAATTCCTTGGACCAGCTTTCAAGATCTGTCCAAGGCCTATTTACTCTTGCTAAACAAAACAAAACAAAAAAGAAATCTTATCTGCTGCTGCCAAGTCCCTTCCAACTCAAACAGACCCCATAGGACAAAGTAGAACTGCCCCATAGGGTTTCCAAGGCTGTTACCTTTACAGAAGCAGACTGTCACATCTTTCTCCTTTGAAGCAGTTGGTAGGTTTGAACTGCCAACCTTTTGGTTGGTTAGCAGACAAGTGCTTAACCACTACACCACCAGAGTGCCTTACTTACTCTCTTTGCACAGTCTTATTTCTTGCCATACTACTCCTAAATATTCACCATCCTCTACCCTTATCATTCGCTGGCTTCTTCACTGTTCCATGACACCCTCTAACCCCAACCCCAAGACTCATTCCCCTACTAGCCTACACTCTCTAACCATTTGCAATAGCCTTCCTTCCAGCTTGCCTATCTAAAGTTTATTCATTACTTAAGACACTTCAGCCATCATCTCCATCCCACCCCAAAACCTATGGTTACAGTCTGTATCATATATTTTTTAATTATACACCATCCCAACATATTGTTTCCTACACACTACTTTGATCTCCCCAAATAGGCAGCCTCTCTAGGTCCATGAAGGAAGAGTGCCTTATTTTCTGTTTCCTCGTGCTATTGTTGTTACATGCTGTCCAGTCGGACCCGACTCATAGCGACCCCTCCCCTTGGGTTTCCGAGGCGGTATCACTACAGAAGTAGATTGCCCGACTTCTTTCCAAGGAGTGGCTGGTGGGTTTGAACCACCAGCCTTCTGGTTAGCAGCTTCCTCATAGCATAGGGCATAGTTTGTTAATCGAATTATAAAGAGATTTCAGTCTTAAGTCTTTTAACAGTCGGTAAACAGTTACAACGTCCTATCTCTGACTCTTTAAGCCCTCTAGTTAGCCTTCTGTTCCAAATTGCACAAAAACTCAAAAAGTGGGTATACAGTGTTTCTCTCCTTCATTCTCTAAACAATACCAAACAGACAAATAAACCCTGTTGCCTGAGAGTCCATTGTAACTGATGGAGACCCTTTATGTTACAGAGCAGGACTGCTCCAAAAGGACTTGTTGACTAAATGTTTATGGAGAGGAGCTTTGGTGGCACAATGGATAGGGCATTCGGCTGCTGACCAAAAGATTAGCAGTTCAAATCCACCAGCCATTCGACAGAAAAAAGGAGCATGGAAGCTGGGGAAGATGTTTATGGAACCTAATCATCAGGTCTTTAAGATCACTAGATCTTTTTTCTGCAGTGCCACTTAATAGGTTCAAACTACCAACCTTTACATTAGTAGTCAAGCTTAAAACATCTGTACAACACACAGACCTTTTCCAAACAATGTCAGGCCTACATAAAATACTTTGTCATTAGAAAAAAAAGAAAAGAAAAATCCAGCCATGGTTCTGGCCTGCTCCAGATGATGGCTCCTTCTTTGTATGTTATTTATAACTTTTCCTCAATTTTCCAATCTGTCCCAATGTCTCCAATCTGCATTCTAGACAAAATAAATTCAGGCAATTGAGACAGCTTAAATGCCTTGCTTTCCAGGTCTTATCTTAAATACTTCTGTGCGCTTCCTTTTGCCTAAATGTTCTTTTTACCCCTAGCAAATTCCTAAAATACCACTTCTTGTGATAAAACTTTCCAAACTCCCCCAGAGATGGCCATTCTTTCCCTGTCATAATGAATTATTTGTTGACATTCTCCAGCCACATCCTAGCTTTTCGAACCAAGAGTTTACCTTTATATTCCCAGTACAGCACCTGACACACGGTCCTTAATAAACAAATGTCACTCATTCAACAACAAAAAAATAATTTTCAAACTACGTATATCCGACCAGTCCATTTCAGCTGGTCGGAATGGACTGGTTTGGGCCATTTTGAATCAGACAACCATATGATCTACTATGCCGGGAATGACAGTTTGAAAAGGAATGGCATGGCATTCATCATCACAAACGAGGTTTCAAGATCTGTCCTGAAGTACAATGCTGTCAGTGATAGGATAATATCCATACGCCTACAAGGAAGAC